CGCAGGGCCTCAAGGGCGGCAGGGCCTGTGCGGGCAGGGGATGGTCGCGCCCGTGCCAGGTGTCCCCGGTCAGAGGGTAGTGGACTACAGAGCCCAGCGCCCAGTCTTGCGCCAGTAGGTTTGGGTGCCTTCCCCCCAGCCTCGAAATAGCACGACGTGTTTTCATTAAACACACAAAGATGACACGCCTCGGAGAAGCCTTAAATTAAAGGCCTCCTGAGAACATCAGGGGAAGGTTGGTGTCGGTCACTGTCTCCCGAGGCAGTTCCTCAGCTGCACCACAGTCACTATGCCAAGACAGAGGTGGTTCATATTCAGTGCAGGAATGGACAAAATCTAATTGTGGCTATGATGCCAACAACCAGTAAAGCCAGAGGAATGTAGTAGTCCAAAGAACAAGGCAACAGGACGGTCAAAGACCACACTAAATGCCGGGAAGGCCACACAGTGAAGCGGAGCCAAAGGTGTGTAAGAGCAGGGGAAAGCTCTGCTGAAGCACCGCAGCCTCCACATCGGCAGCAGAACCCAGAGATACAACAAAGCAGGGAAGAGAAAAAGGAAGAGCCCAAACTCGGAACCAAGAAAACTGTATCCCAAACTATCAAGCCAATCTTCAGGATAAACCCAATTCCAATCAGAAGCATGGGAAGCAGCTAAGATCAGCTGGGGCAGCAGGCAGTAAGGCTCAAGAGGCCAGTTTAGGGAGTCTGTTGGGAGATTGATAGGGGCCAGGTGGCTGACTGGAGATATCCACAGCCTTGAACTTGATTCAACATTTTGTAAAAACATTGAGAACGCGTGCAGGATGTTTGTGGCCCTGAGATAGCTGAGAAGGAGGGCTTGATCTGAGAGAAAACTCAGTTTTTGCTTGTATACTTATAACCTGGTCTGGTTCCCTGATGTGATTCACCACAGGGAAGCTTATGTTTCCCAAGGAAGGGAAGAAGACAGGAAAAGGTGGTCTGCAAACTGCAGCGCCTCTTTATTGTGGCTTAAATTACTCTTCAAATCTCAATGTCAGGTAGAGGGAGATGAATATGCCACATATTGAGAAAGGCTCTTAAATTTAATAATTTTTAAAATAGTAGTTCTTGAAATAGCTTGTGTGGCTCTCTGAGGGTTCCAGGTATTCACAAATTGAGGGTTTAGAAGGGATAAAGATACAATTTGCCAGAATACACTCCAATATGTAAGTATTTTGGTGTGCCAGCTCGCGTTCTCCTAATGGGTCTCCATGCTGCAGAACTATGTTCAACTGTCTGCATCTCACCAAGTCATCACTTAGAAATAATTCAACACAACATTGTTCAGACCGTTTTAAACTCCATCCAAACTAAAAGAGATGGCGACAACTTAGAAAAGCAACAAATCTTGCATAAATCCCAAAAATAGCATAAATGCTAATTTAAGGGTAGGCAGGATCAAGCTATTTTTCTCACCGTTTCAGAAAGCGTTTCTGGCATGAAATCCCAGCCTCATTGAAATTTAGAAGGCTTTTGTCAATCCAGCCAGGATTCTAGCCTTGAAGTTTGTGGCACTGTAAGTGGCATATATGAAGCATATTTGGGCTTTTGAGAGCATTTACCACATTCAAACCTAGCACCAGACATCCCTGTTAGTCACTGCTGCCCAGCTATCAGTCTAACAGACCTGTACCATATCACACAGACTGCATGAAGCTTATGCAGCTGCCTTTCAGTCTCCCGATACATTGCTACTCTAAATCCTTTCCCAACAGACCCTCCTCCTGGATCCAAGATCTCTCGCACATAGCTCATCTGGCTGCATCGCACTGAGAAAGGCTTGCAGCACGTGTGCCAACCAAGAAACACACCTTGCCCTGTTGCTGCAGCCCTTTACCTAAAACAGCCTCCGTAACCCACAACAGGGACAATCCCAAGTTGCACAGCCTAACACAGGATATGTGACGATGCTCAGAAAGTCATGTTTTGGGTTAAAAGGAAGGTAAGGTTTTGGTATCTGCATGAGATACCTAATTGCAAATAGTTCGGCCGTTTTAACTTCTCACCGCTGCTAGCTCTAAAACCAGACAATAGCTATCCAGCACATTTACTGCATAACACAAAAAAGACAAAAATGCAAACATCAAAGTAAGACAAGGCCTGCTCCATGAGACAAACAAGGAAACTTAACCAGTCATCTGGGAAATAAAGAGGAAATAAAGGAAACATTCAAAGAGGTCTTAACTTTTTATTTCTATTTATGGTACCTCTGGTTTTTATGTTATACAGGCCCTGGCTGAAAAAATTAAAAATCTACAAGTCTTTGCAGCATTAAGCATTGTTCTGTCTTTGAAAGCACGTACATGCATTAATGTATCATTGTAGGTGCATTCATTGTATCCAAAGGAAGGGGCATGGATGTAGCATAATGAAGAAGTTTTAAATATGCTGTAGCTAGGTGCTCTTGTTTGGAGGAAAATTAAAACCCACCTTCCTGAAGTTGCTATACTTCCAGAATGTTAGGGTCATAAAAGTAGCTTTTGAATTTTAGTGAGAAGTACCTACTTTTAAATAACATTGTGTAATGTACATTTCAAATACTATTCCGCATTGCTAGGTGTTTGTAACAGCTGTTGAGTAGGCCAATACAAAAATCTCACCCCACTCACAAAGGTAAATTATGAAGGGCCCACAATGTTGTATCTGCATATATTAAAAGGCACAATAACGCAAAGTGTGCTTAATTACTTTGTAGTCTCTAGCAAATACTACTAGACCCCTTAGAAAGTGTAATCACAATTGATACAATACACTGTTAAGCTGGGCAAAGCTGAAAAGTAATTTTTTAAATTACAGAATCTGTCACATTACAGTAGTTCACAAAGAGATCTCTGTACAGCTAGTTGCTTTTTCCTCATTGCCCTTTGTAATGAAATTTAACTAGTTAAGAGAGCAAATATATTTAATGAGTCATTTTTATGGCATAGGTTATTTGCAAAGGCCCATCATTAAATGAATATATTTACTTTTACAAGCATCACTTGCTCAATTACCAACGCTGTTCCAAAAATTTTAAGTCATACCTAGATGTTGGGTGTAACCATATGATGTCAATCAATTTACCTTTTCCATTGTGCGTCCTCAAACCAGGACACATTGAAAATACACAACCAGAATTATCTTTCCCACTTTGTTCTGGACAAAAATATGACTTTAAGATTTGCTGTTGAAGACCATTACGTACTGTCACAACCTTTACCTCAAAATACGTGACGCTGGAACAAAAGAACATCTCAGGGCTCCAAACTTGCAACAACTAATGCGCATTTCCTCATTTTAATCATGCTCTTTGTTCCACTCAAATCAGTCTTCACTCTCCACACACACTCATGAGGTATTATCCCTGCAGGTACACCTCAGATAAACCAACCCACCCCCAAGCACGACCCGTCCACCTGCGCTCTCCCGCCAGGACTCAGGGTCGGCTGTGCAGCTCCCTGCACCCAAGGCCTGCCTGCTGCACTTACCAGGGACTGCGTGACACCCGCAAAAAGAGTCATTTACAGCGCACGGGATGGCCATTTGATGGGGACAATCCTCACTTTTGCTCTTCTGACTGAGAAGCAAAGTAGGGAAACAAACCACATTTTAATTTGGTTGTCATCGCTGAATAAACCTGAGGAGAAAATGAGGCCTCTCATGGAAGCCACCTGTGTCGTTCATGAAGTCACACAGCTCCAGTTAAAGCCTAAAACGTAATTCCCAGCCCGGACTAACGCACGAAATAACCACCAAACCCATTTTCCCTGCTGCAGCCTTCCCCCGCCCCCTCTTTACCCCGCCTGGCACCCTCACGGACACGGCGCGGGGAAACCTGCCGCCTCCCCTCCCCACTAAAGCTCCGGACACCGGGAGGTGTAACCCACTCAGCCCCGGCGCTGCGGAGACGCCCCGCGGCCCGCCTGCCCGCCCCGGGCTCC